GGGCCTTCGCCCCCCCCCCCTGGAGTAGATCTTGGCTGTTTTTGGCGCCTGTCCAAGGCAGGTGGAGTCTCCCCCGTGGGACGCACCGTTGCAAACAGTCGCAGTAAGCAGAGGTCCGGAGCCAGACCCCCACCTCTCCCCCCCCTTCCGCCCAACGTGTGGCTTTCGCCACTCCGCCGACCCCTCGGGATACCTGGCTCTTGGGTCGCTTGCCTCCTACTTCACCGTGGTCTTGCTCCCCCCTCCTTGCTTCATCGATGCGCCCGAGCAGTTTTTTCCCTGTCTGCGTTGCAGGACTGCAGAGTTCCTGGGTGGGTCCCCAGTGCGTAGTACATGCAACCCGCGTAGTAAGGATGGGCAACCTACCCTTGCATCCTTGCCTCCTCGGTCCATCCTTCGCTACTTTCGCTGGCCGCGCCCCGCTCGAAAAGCATCGAAATGGCCCTCAAAGGCCCTTGCATCCTTATCGCGCATCCACACTATACGGGTTGACTGTAGCAAGCATCTTGCTCTGCTTGTATAACCTTGGCATCGCTCGGACGCGTGTGTTTTTTCTCGGTGGAGACCATCGAGGAGCATCCTGGATCACCGAACAAAGATTGGCCTGGCGAAGGGCCCAACCATACGCAGTGATACGTACCGCAGTTGTGAGTACCGTCTTCGGTGGGTCCTCCTATGCGGCCACGGAATGTTTGAGGGGTGTGCCAAAGCGGCCCGTCGGCGGCAGGCGGCCTTTTCCGTTGGGGCTTTCGATTGAGCTCCACATGGGGGCCACGCAGCGTGCGAGTGGTGTGCAGAAATGGGGCGGCACCGACATGCGGGCCCTGTCGCTGCGGCCTTCGGTGGTGCCGCCTCAAGCAACGAAACGTGCGAGGTGTGCGCCAAACTGTGGGATGGAACCGCATGCGGGCGCTGCCACTGGGGCCTCCGGTGGAACACCCTGTGGGGCCATGGAACGCGTAAGGGGTTCGCCGACATGGGGGGGTGGAACCGCATGCGAACGCAGCCACTGGGGCCTTCGATGGGGCTCCCTACGGGGCCACGAGACGTGTGAGGGGTGTGCCGAAATTGCGAGGTGGCGGCATGCGGGCCTTGGCACTGGGGCCTTCGGTGGAGCTCCCTATGGGGCTACGAAACGTGTGAGGGGTGTGCCGAAATGGCGAGGTGGCGGCATGCGGGCCTTGCCACTGGGGCCTTCGGTGGAGCTCCATGTGGGGCTACGAAACGTGTGAGGGGTGTGCCGACATTGCGAGGTGGCGGCATGCGGGCCTTGCCATTGGGGCCTTCGGTGGAGCTCCCTACGGGGCTGCGAAACGTGTGAGGGGTGTGCCGACATTGCGAGGTGGCGGCATGCGGGCCTTGCCATTGGGGCCTTCGGTGGAGCTTCCTACGGGGCTGCGAAACGTGTGATGGGTGTGAAGAAATGTCGAGGTGGCGGCATACGGGCCCTGGCAATGGGGCCTTCGGTGGAGTTCCCCATGGGGCCACGAAACGTGTGAGGGGTGTGCAGAAATGGCGAGGTGGCGGCATGCGGCCCCGGGCACTGGGGCCTTCGGTGGAGCTCCCTATGGGGCCACGAAGCGCTGTACTGGGTGTGCCGAAACAGAGACATGAGGAGGGCAGAGGCAAGGAGGGGGAGGAGGGAGGAGGGGGAGGAGTAGAGGAGGAGGAGAGGAGGAAGGAACGCGGGGCGCTGTCTCTCCAAAACGAGGACCCAACACCACCGAATGGTTGGGAAAACACGTACGAAACCGAAACATACACGGGGACGTCCGAGTGACTGCAAATAGCCCAGAAGGATTATACCAGGAGTGTCCCAGGCCTCTCACGAGTGGACGACATAGCTCAATGCGCCTCAGAGCTCGATTCGGTTCGACTCCATCGAAGCGCTTGTCGTCCTCCGCCCCAGGAGATCGAGGCCTTGCGGCAGGCCAAGGCCATCCTCTCCGGCTCCGACTTCTCGGTGGAGGTCTGATCCCCCGGGCCGCAGGCCGCCGGCCCGCCTCCTCCGTCTCTCCCCCCTCGGCGCCTTGTTCCCCTCCTCGGTCGCGTGCTCTGTGTGCTCCCCGGCATCCCCTCTGCTGTACGCCCGCGTGCGCGCGCTGCCTGCGTCGGCGGCGCTGTGCACTCGTCTCCCAGGAAAAGAGGGGGGCCCCGCGCGGGGAGGGAGGGGTGAGGGGCAGAGCGAGGGGGGGGTCGCCACTTTTGAGCACGGTCGTGGGCTCCTGGGGTCTGCCCCCCGCCATGAGGAGGATTCGGGAGGAGGAGGGGGGGAGGAGGAGGAGGAGGAGGAGGAGGAGGAGGAGGAGGAGGAGGAGGAGGAGGAGGAGGAGGAGGACAAGTGTAGACCCAAGAGTCATCAACGATGTTGGAATACATCCTCCCTCCAAGCTCCCTCTTCATAGGCCCCTACAGTGGTTCATTCCCACAGAGGGAATTGCCTCGTTGGATTGTGCAACGCCATCGATCAACCTGAATTTTGCGTCTTGACGATCCGGTCGGGGGTGGACAGAACCCCCAACAGTGACACGTCGACTAGTGAATTGTCCGTTTTCGGTTCTCGGGAGGGCGCCGTGGCCGCTATTTTCCAGGCTTGCGCCCGCCAGGTTTGGGCCTCAGGTCGTTTTCACTAAACCACGTTTCACTAAAGGGAGGTCTGTCCATCCCCGATCCGGAGTCGTGCCAGAACGCCATTCTTGGGACTTCAACGCCGCGAATCAACGTAACTGTTGCACCCTCATAGTCCTGAATCCAAAACACTACTTCTGGTACGTTGATCATGGGAATCCGTGAAACTGTTGCACATGAATGTGTGCGGCGTTCAGGCGATTTTGAAAAGAAGCCGCCCTCAATCCGTGAAACTCCTTGCCAATTGTTACCAACGAATGCGCGCGGCGCGAAGGCGAGAGCCACATTGTAAAAATTTGTCGCCCTCAATTCGTGAAACTGCATTGAACAAAATTGAAAAAGGGTCGCCCTCAATCCGTGGAGCTCTTGTAAATTTTCAAAACGAGTATGCGCGGCGCTAGGGCGAGAGCCACATCTTGAAAACGGCCCGCCCTCCATCTGTGAAACTGTGACTATTTCTAAAACTTCAGGGTCATAAGTGATGAGGAAGTCTCCGGCGAACCGCCCGGCCCGCCCTATCTTTTGGCCTCGGGGTGCGACAGGGAGAAGTTATTCATACGGAAAAGGAGAGGAGGGTGAGGAGGAGGAGGAGGAGGAGGAGGCGGAGGCGGAGGCGGAGGTGGAGGTGGAGGATGGAGGCGGAGGAGGAGGCAGACGCGGAGGCGGAGGAGGCGGAGGAGGAGGCGGAGGAGGAGGCGGAGGCGGAGGCGGAGGAGCAGGAGGATGAGGAGGAGGAGGAGGAGGACGAGGAAGAGCACGAGCAAAAGGAGGAGGAACAGGAGGAAGAGCAGGAGGATGAGGAGGAGGGCGAGGAGGAGGCGGAGGAGGAAGAGGAATAGTAATAGCAATACTCGCAACATTACCAACATGGTTAATAATAGGAGCACGAAGAATAATACTATTCCGAATGCCACTAATAATAACAATACAACTGTTCATACTACGATTAATAACAATGCTATCAAGACTAATGTTAGTATTGGTAACAGCAGACGAGGAGGAGGAAGAGAAGGATGAGGAGGAGGAGGCGGAGGTGGAGGTGGAGGAAGAGGCGGAGGATGAGGAGGAGGAGGAGGAGGAGGAGGAGGAGGAGGAGAAGGATAAGGAATAGGAGGAAGAGGAGGAAGAGGAAGAGGAGGAAGAAGAAGAGGAGGAAGAGGAGGAAGAGAAGGAGGAGGAGGAGGAGGAGGAGGAGGAGGAGGAGGTGATGGTGGTGGACGGCCAGAAAAGGCGGGTTCACGATCAGAAGAGCTCACCGTCTGAGGCCTCAGAGTCATCATCTGAGCGGTCCGCGGCCCGACGCTGCCCCAGTTCCTGAACCGGAGGCAGCTCTGACTCCAGAATCCCAAAGGCCGCAAGCACCGAAGCCTGCGAGGGCAGTCCTGGAAGAAGCCTTCTGCCGACGGCGTGCACGCACTCGCCACACATCCACGGTTCTCGCGATCTCAGCCTGATCCTGGGAGCTCAACGGGCCTGGAGGTCCCAGCACGAGAGACCTGATGGTGGGACGGTAGTGTGGGTGTTTACCTGCACGGAGCCGATTCAACTGGGTCCCAATCCCTGGACTGGCAGGCTTTCGCAGACAACGCTCCAGGAGGGTGCGCCCGAGACGGCCCGAGGTATAACCCCCACACTTATAACAGAACACAACCTTGTCGAGGGAGTCTCGATCGGGCGTCGAACGAGGGCGTGCTGACGGAAAAAGGATGCCTGGCGGGCCTCATCAGCACAGCACAGCTCCCCACCGTCCCCCGCCGACTCCGCGACGCTCGACAACGGAACGACCTCGCCCTCCTCATCTGCAGGGTCGGGAGGCGGCTCCGAGGGCTTGTCCTGGACCGTGGGCTCCAAGCCCGCCGTGTCCTGGCCGCTGGTGGCCATCAAAACCTCGAGCATGCCTGCCCACCTCCCTTGTTCCAGAGCCTGCGCTTTGAGACCCCGAAAGAGTGCCGCGTGTGACTCGTCCACTCCGTTCATCAGGGCTCATAGCCTGGCATACTGGTCAGCGCTGCTGTTGTTTTTTTTCTCCCACCACGTGGAGCGACCAGCTTCAATGTCGTGGCTGCGGGGCTGGGTGTCGGAGCCTCCGAACGCCGCCCAAAAGGGGCTCCACATGTGGCTCCGAGGGGACCTCGCCGACGCCCCCGATCCAGGACCCCCAAGCAGCACCTCTAGAGTGGCTTTGCAATCTGGATGCAGCTCAAAAGGCGCCATGCCAACTTGTGTGGGCATGTGAATCGCAAAATCCTCTCCATCCTTGGCCGTCTGGCGCGGCCCGAAGCTCCACGGGACAGGCCCGTACGCTGCGTGCAGCACGTTTCCCAGTGGGTCTACCTGCACGAGATCCCAGCCCGCTCTGCTGACGCCTGGCAGTGACGGCCACATAGCTGACCCGTCACTAAAGAAGCAGCCCGAGAGAAATCCATTGGCAGGTCTGTGCGCCCACCTGATAGAAGCTTCAGGCTCAACATGGGGGACGAAGGCAAGGGGACTAGGCAACACACATCTCGACCCCAGGATCCAAGGCACGACGGGCGCGCGCGGCAAGTCAGGGCGAAACACCGTCTTTGCGGTAGCCCGCGTGCGCCACACACCCGTGCTGCCTATGCCAAAGCGTCCCTTTGTCCTCCTTACAAAGTTGGCAGAGGTCAGACTCGTGCAGGCCGTGCCCACAAACCCGTAGCTGAGGCCAATGCACGTTGCACAGCAGCGAGCGCACTGCTCTCTGATGGTGCGGGGACCAGTGCTGACTCTTGCCCCTGAGAAGGGGCCACAGGTCTGCCCCCAAAACAGGAAACGTACCATCGGGTCCCAAGGGGCCTTCGGAGCCCTGAACTTCCGAGAGCAAGCCTGTCTGACGCCCTGGCCGCTCCCTCGTGCACTAGCTCCCTGACCTCGCAGGGGGAGAGCCGCTGACTGAGATTCCAGACGATCCCTAGATCGTCCGGAAGTCTGGTGCTGGTTCAAAACCTCCGGCCGATCCTGTCCAGCGAAAGGTACGCAACATCCGCGGGCGACGAGGCCGCCCCCCAAGGGTGACGGAAACTGCCCAGCTTTTCGATCGCCGCGTCCATCGTCGCCCCAAGGACCAGCCTAGACGGGAAGCTCTCCCAGACAGCCGTGGCCCATTGGTAGGCTACATGGCCAGTGTAGGACACTCAGGGATCCGCTTGCAGTTCCATCCTGAAAGAGTGAAACCTGGGCCCTAGACTTGAGCCTCTGGGAAGTCGCCCAAGCTCTTAGCAGCTGACACACTGAGCCCATGCATCACCGATGGGGGGGCCCCCGACGCGCTGCTTCCCCACATGGCCACGGCAGTGGCCCCGGCCCTTTGGGTGAGGCCAACGTCAGCCCCAGCATTCTTTACAATCTGGAGACGGCGCGATCGAGGTTGGGCAGCCGCAAATCTGCTCTTGGCAATCCCAACCCGACGGCACGTGCCCGAGGTGGCGTCCGTGCCAAGATTTCGAGCCGTGTCCACGCGCGACGAGGTTGGCCATGGACTTTGGCACTACAAGTATACTTAGTCTTCTTCACGGCGACAGGAAGATGGAGCCGATCGAAATCGACGAGCAGCGACTCAACCCCCGAGCTGAGAGCGGGCCCCATCAGGGCAGCTCACGGACGCCGCCCCAGCAAGCCGCCCGGGCAAGGCGCTGCTCATCTGGCCACCGGCTGCCCCGGCCCTTGTTGCATCCGGCGCAGGTAATGGAATGTTCAGTATTCGTTGCAGAGGCTCAGTGTCGTTTCACCGATCCCAGTCCCCATCCCCATTTCGATCCCCACAACCCCACCACCCCAGTAGGGGATGTGCCCCTCGAAAACCGAAGAGAACAACTTACATTCCCGTCCAGGGGGGTAAATCGGCCGGTGGGGCCCCACCCCAGTGGGGATGGGGATCGGTTGAACGATGTTCAGAGGCATCGTTCTGTTGTCTTTTAGCGTCCGCCCGCAAAAGTCTGTCGCGGTGAACTTTTTAGGTTACCTTCTGCAAGCCCCACGGAGGCCTTTTGGGGTGCCCTTCGGGGGATGGGCGGTTGTCTTGGGGGCCTTCGGGGGGGGGGGGGTTCTGGGCCTGGCTCGGGCCATCTTGGACTCTGCGGGGCCTCCTGGACGGAAGACACCTGGAGCAGCCCGGGGCGGCCAGGCGAGGACGCCAACACATTGCACAGACTTTCCACGGCCCACGGAGTCGGCGGGAGAGTTCGTGGGGGCCTCGGGGAGAACTTTTGGCGGTCGGGCCCGTCTTCGGTGGTCCAGCAGGTGCCTTTCTTCGACGGTATTGTCATCTTGCAGACCAGCCTTTGGCCTTTCCGGGCCCCCCTGGGGGCGGAGGTAGGTCATCTTGAGGCCGTCAGGAGTGAATCGTTTTCTTTGGCCCCATCAGCCCGTGGGCAATGCTGCTATGCGAGGCTGCATGCAGCTGCACATGGCAAAGATCGAATTCAACATCATAAGGGTCTTTACACGCGCCATCGCGCTGCAATCGCCGGGTCATAGTCATAAGATATAAAATTGCGTACGATGCGCAATATACATATTCCCTGGACAAGCTGGCGGCAGGCTGGATGAGGGCGGTGGCTTTTTCATTGGCGAGCCGACGATTGAACAGTGAAGGTCATGTCAAGATCGAGTATTCGGCAGATAGGCGACAGGGACGCCCCACGCGTCGTCTCACATGACCAGGTGTCATGGCCAGGCGATGGCGATGACGCGCATGGAGATGACGAACTCAACGAAGCGAAAGGGAAAAAGCGGAATTGCCATGATGTCAGGCGAGGGACGGACAGGCATTCTTGGCCATCTCACCTCCGATGTCTCCCAACTCCGATTTCCCAATTTCTGGGCACCACCACTCACCACATGCTCTAGACTTTCTTGTTTCAAGTGCCCTTAGGGGCGACCAACGGTTCACACCCCACAGGTAGATGGGTACACCACAGATGTCAGCTCATGGTGTGGACCTCAGGAAAGTTGGCCCAGCAAGCAATTCATTACAAGTCTGCTTCTCTGACCGTCGACATCCGGAATCATGGAAACGCGAAGCAGTGGAACGCAGCACTGGAGCTGCTCCGCGGTGCGCTGCGGTCTCGCGTGGAGATGTGCACCATATTCTACAATGCCGCCATCAGCGCTTGCGGAAAGGGTAAGCAGTGGCAGCATGCACTGTCGCTGCTTGCCGAGGCGTGGGCGGAGAGGCTGGAGCCAGACATCATCAGCTACAGTGCGGGAATGACCGCGTGCGAGAAGGGGAGGCAGTGGCAGCGGGCACTGGCGCTGCTGGCCGAGCTGCGAGAGGTGCAGCTGCAGCCAGACGTTATCATCTGCAGTGCCGCGATCAGCGCGTGTGAGAAAGGGGGGCAGTGGCAGCAGTCGTCGTCGCTGTTGATCGAGATGCGGGAAGCGGCGCTCGAGCCGAACACAATATGTTATAATGCTGCGATGAGCGCTTGCGAGAAAGGCCGGCAGTGGCAGCTATCGATTTCCCTGTTGAGGGAACTCTGGGAAGCCAATTTGGAGCCAGACGTCGTCTTCTCTGCATCGCCCGCCCCCTCGCTTGCCAGAGGGCTCTGGGAACGAGACGTGGGCGGAGGTGGAGGTGGAGGAGGAGGGGAGCGAAGCGGAGGGATGCGTGAGCGGCAGGAGGAGGAGCAGGCGGGAGGACCGGAGGAACCTCAGGGTGGACCAACGATGCTGCAGCACATCCTCCCCGCTCCCTGCCTGCTCACTGCCGCGCGCGGAGAGGGGCTCCGAGCGAGGCGAGCGCCCCACGGACCCCCCAGCAGTGCCGGCGGGAGCCGCGTGGCAGGGCGCCGGCCTCCACCTCCGCTCGGCTACAGCCAGGACCCCAGGTTCTGTGGCATCTTCGGGGACCTCGCCTGTCCCCAAAATTGGTGTCTTTTTGGGGGCCCGACGCGTGCTCGATGCGGACTCGACGCGGATTTGGCGTGGATTCGACGAGGATTCGACACGGATCCGACGCGTCCGACATGGATTCGACACGGATTCGCTGCGGATAGGGCCGCGACGGGACAGACAAGGTCCCCCGAGGATGCAACATAACCCAGGTAAGGGGACCCGGTTAGTGGTAGGGCCTCGGAGCTCCTGAATTGGCCAGAATCACTAAACCAGGTCTGCCGTAGCTCGTGTTTTTTTGGGGGTGATGGCAGTTCCGGTCAGTGGATCGGGGCGGGGGCGCGCCCCCCAGTGCACGTCACCAAACGAGGTCCCACTCCAACGCCCGATCCGAGCCTCTGGCTCAAGTCTTTTCGGTTCGAGCCCGAAGCCGAGCAGGCCCTGAAGCAGAGCCCCGCCGAGCAGTCCGTGGGAGGCCGACCAGAGGTGGAACACGATCTCACCGATCCCCTCCTGCTCCAACATCGGGTCCTGAAGGTCACGAGGGGTGCCCCCTGGCATCGCTCGGACGTGTGCATTTTTTCTCGGCGAGGGCCATCGAGGAGCATCCTTGATCATTAGGCGAAAAAACACGCACGAAAACAAACAAAAACACAGGGAATGGACGTCCGAGCGATGGCGAGGCCCAGCGACAGCCCCGCTCGGAAGAGGACCCCCCCTCTCCATCCGTGCGTCTGCTTCGGCTCAAGTTCCGGCGGGGGCCCCGTTGCGGTAAGGAGCGTCCCTCGGGGCCGCTGTGCACCGCCCCGTTTTTTTCGGGTGCCACGCTCTGCAGGAGTGTCGCGCGGGAGCCCGACTCGAAAAGGCGCCGCCCTTCCATCCGTGCAGGTGCTGGGGATTTTTGAGGAGAGCGTGCCCAGCGCCGCTGCGAGAGCCCATTCTGACAACGAAGCGCCTCACATCCGTGTAGCTCGTGTTTATTCTTGAGACGTGCGTACGCTGCGCCAAGGTGAGCCCAATTTTCAAAACGACCCGTCCTCCAACTGTGTGACTGCTGGACAGTTCGAAGAGACGTGTCTGCCAGGTGCCAAGGCGAATCCCTCATTTTGAAAGCGATTCGCCCTCTATCCGTGTATCTGTTAGAAATTCGTACTACGAGTGTGCGTGGCGCCATGGCGAGAGTCAGATTTTACAACATCTGCCATCCATCCGTGTAACTTTTGGATTGTCGCGCTTCGGTATCGTTCGTGGTGAGGACGTCTCGGGCGAAAAGCCCGGCCCGCGCTATCGACATACCTGGGGGCTCGACATGGATAATTTTTCGAAGACGCCTACGGCGAGTCACCGCCGTCCCCTGCCCTCTGGAAGCGCATCTGCGGCCGACTGTTGTGTCCAGAGCTCGGCCACGCTATCGGCTTGGTATCGCTCGGGCGTGTGCACTTTTCTCGGCGAGGACCATGGAGAAGCATTTTGGACCATCTTGCGAAACAAGCAACGCACGAAACCGAACAATGCACTGGTAGTGGACGTCCGAGCGATGGCAAATCGGACTGTGTGTCCCCCCATTCCTTGTGGGAACCTGGCGGGGAACACTTGGGGGAGGGAGAGGAAGAGGACGAGGGAGGAAGCATGATGATGGTGATGATGTTGATGATGATGATGATGATGATGCTGATGCTGATGCTGATGATGATGAGGAGGATGATGATGCTGACGATGCTGATGACGCTGATGCTAATGCTGATGCTGCTGATGATGATGATGATGCTGATGATGGCGATTATGATGATGCTGATGCTGATGATGATGATGATGATGATGATGATGATGATGATGATGATGATGATGATGATGATGATGATGATGATGATGATGATGATGATGATGATGATGATGATGATGATGATGATGATGATGATGATGATGATGATGATGATGATGATGATGATGATGATGATGATGATGATGATGATGATGCTGATGATGGTGATGATGATGATGATGATGATGATGACGATGATGATGATGATGATGATGATGTGATGATGATGATGACGATGATGATGATGATGATGATGATGATGATGATGATGATGATGATGATGATGATGATGATGATGATGATGATGATGATGATGATGATGAGGAGGAGGAGGAGGAGGAGGAGGAGGAGGAGGAGGAGGCGGAGGAGGAGGCGGAGGAAGAGGAGGAGGAGGAGGGGGAGGGGGAGGAGGAGGAGGAGGAGGAGGAGGAGGAGGAGGAGGAGGAGGAGGAGGAGGAGGAGGTCCGTTGCCATTTTGGCTCAAGGTGGGAGTAGGTCTCAATGTTTGAGCGGGCAGCTCCTGTGAGCTATCCAGCGTGTCTTGCGCTGGCAGACACCTCCCCCAGGTCTCCTCGTCGCTGTGGGTGCCCCAGTTTCGGCTTGAGCGAGCGACGAGTGCGGCCGCCCATGTCGATAACGCCTCCCAGCTTGTCGAGCATATCCTCCTCGTCATGCCGACCTTCCTCTCGCAGGAACATGCTGACGATGCCCTTCTTCCTGCTGAGCAACCTCTTCCTGACGGACATCCTGATAACGCTGAAAGATGCCACGTCGTCGACCCCTCCACCCAGGATGTGGGCACCGAGCAGCCGTCCAAGCGCCAGGCCCCCGCGACGCCCCGTGGTCAGCGCCAGGCTTGCGCCCAAGGCTCCAGGAACGTGGCAGGCGCTCCCGTCGCTGGCGCAGGTGGCCCCTCCGCTCCGCAGCCGTCGGTTGAAATGGCTCAGCTCCGTCAGCACGTTGACTCCATCCAGGCGGACATGCAGCGCGCGCTCGCGGTCGTACAGTCCAACGTCACGAACAGTATCTCCAACCTCTAGACCGGCATCACTTCCTCCTTCGGCATGCTCAACCGCCAGATGGAGACGCGCCTTGTGGGTGTGGAACAAAGTACCTCAGAACACACCGCCCGCATCGCCGCTCTGGACAAGCAGATGGCTGATCTCCGTCGTGAACTGCTTGTGGTCCAGACAGAGTAAAGAGCCTCTTCCTCCCCCCCGTTCGGCGACAAACTCATGCGACAGACCGATCGGTAACACCATCATTGTCGCTCTCGCCCCGAAGTTGGTTACGAAACAGGCAGTGGAGCAAACCCTCGCCCAACGGTTTCAAGACTCGATCATCAAGCGATACGAGTAGAAGTTTGATGAAGAGCAGCCCTCCTCGCTACGCTACCAGATCCGCTTCAATGGCACGGCCTACGCCGAGCGCAAGGTCAGCCAGGCCCTCGGCAACCTCAAGACCTCAGGCCCAGGTGTATCACCGCTGCTTTGGCGCTCCCTCACCACCGACTCAGTTGCTGATGGGCCCGCTCCCTTCCACTTTGGCCCCGATAAGAACTCATGCATGGTTCGCAAGGAGTTGGGCTGCAAGAGAATCAAGGCCGCGATCCTCCGTGAGTATCCTCACAAGCGTATTTTTATTTACAAATTTCAAGGGGAAGTTTTCGCGGGCTGGAACCCCCTTTGCAAGGTGTTCCCTGTCGGATGACATGATGTCCCAGATCTCCAGTGGGCCGAGGCCAACATCGTGGCCGAACAGATGGACGCAGCTCGTATGTCTCAGGTCGTCCAGGACTCCTTTCGCCTTCCAGTCCCCACATTGTGAGGTTCCTAGCACGCTCTCTGTCCCCTGGCACGGCTGCAAGCGGTGCGAGGATAATTGCGTTCTCTCGATCAACACAGTCTCTTGGCATGCCCGTTCGCATCTTCACCATGATAGCAGTCTCCGCCTCAAGAAGTTCAAGCTTCTGAGGAGACTCCTCAAGGCAGGAAACATAGTTGCCATTCAGGAAACGCATGATGCCCCATGGGATGTCCAGGACCTCCTCTACCCCCTCCACCTCCCCTTCCGCGCCTCGTTTTCGTTTCCCGAGAATTTCCGTACAAGAGGAGTGTTGACCCTTTTCCCCAGCAGGGTTCGTTTTAATTTGACGGGCGGCGACCTCCCTCTCCTCGCGTCCTCCTCTCTCGTTGATGGCCGCGCCCTCCTCGCAGAAATGAGGGCTGTGAATGGTCGGTGCTGGGTGAAGCACTTCAACATTCATAATCACGACTTGTCGAGGGATGTCAAGGCAGTTTGGTTCCAGTTGCTCGAGGCCGCCCTCTCCGAGGCGCGGCAGGATCCTCTCAGCGGGTTGGAGATTTTTTCTCGGGGAGCTGAATCTCACCTCGCACGAGCCTCTCCCCATTCCCCCCCTGATGGCGATCGCGATGCCTTCGCCGGCCCCCCCCGCCCCTTCCTGAAGATTGGCGGGCTGCTCTGATCAGCGCTGTTGAGTTTGAGCTTCTCTCCCCCTCCCACTGTAATCGTGCTCGGCAAAACCTTAGCTTCCTCGATCGGATGTCCAACTCGTTGCCTGGCTGGATTCCCTCGCAATGTGCGTCAGGCGGCGAGGTCTGTGAACGCCCTGAAGTGCTTGGCGCGGGGCGTATTTCGGACCGTGCCCCAGTGGCCGCGTGCTTCCGAGTTTGTTCTCCTCTGCCGGCTGGGGACAGGCCGGTTCCGAAGGGGATTTTTGAGTCCAAACCCTTCTGTGAGTTTATGGGGCAGGCTGTGAAGAGTGCCCTTTTTGACCACGTCACCCCTCCCCTCGCCCGCGATTGCTACAAACTCCTCCTCGCGGAAGCTT